CTCACCACCGGTAGATTCAAATCAGGGCGTGGGCGTCAGGCACGACCTCGCCCCTTTAGAAGAGCCCGCACATGAGTTTGGTCAAGGACGCTTGTGGGCATGCACTTCGGAAGAGAAGGCTTGTTAAAGAGCATCAAATTAGCGGGGAGATCTGCTGGTGGGTCTGGCACCACAACCCTTTGTCACCCTATGAAAGGAATTGTTCCATGGGTGAAGTCGAAGTGCGATGACTTTCATCTGCGGTATGGGTCATTACGTCACGCTAGAAACGCAACAGGCGGCGGCCGTCAACTTTCTCTATTTTCTGTGTTGGAAAGTGTTTGAAAGACTAATGACCAGTTGCTAAAATGCGGCATGGTTTCGTTGTTGTCGAACTCTGGAACTCATTCGCTGAGGAAAAGTATAATGCAGATTGTTGAGGCCCGCGGCTTTTACGTCCTGTGCAGACAGTGCGTTTGTGCGGATGAAACATAGCGAATGGATAAAGAAGATGGCCAAGGACAGGTTGGCATTTCTCAAAGCGTATGATAACAGTAATGAACCAAGATCTGTGGACCAAGATCTGCTGAGCAGTGAGGCGGGTGCCTGGCAGAGGGATCTAACATCACGCACACGTGTACACAACACATGAATGAGATCGCCGTCGTTCGACACTGCCGTTGCCGTTGCCGCTGCACGGAAGCGTAAGAAGGGTTTCGCAGCTCTTTGCCACAACCCCAAGCCCGCTGATAGCAGGTTTGGGAAGGCGTAGCTTCGGCACCGTGGGTAGGCTTACCTCTGACAATGAGCGAAGGCAGGTGGCGACTGCACTGGTTTCCCAACCAAGCACAGTTCAAGTTCAGAGTGAAGCATCCCGTAAAATTGAGAGGCAGCAGGGGGAAGGGCGTACCGTTCTGAGAGAACTTACTCAGCTTTGTGGCACCCCGAAGGCGAACAGGGTTGCGCTACATATTCACTCAGGTTCTTCGACCAAAACCCATCTCGTGCCTGACACGCTCGCACGAACATTGCAGTTTAGCCATCGTGGCTCGGCAAACAGAATGGGCCCTTACTTTAGCTCTCTTAGAGCGTCGTTTTCTTGAGGATTTCTGTTCAGGTCTTCTTCGTGGTAGGCTGCTTCGCGCTTTGTGAAAGTCTGTACTTCCAATTTAAATATCATTGAAACGCCTGCACATCTCGTACAGGTCTTTGGGTGCGAGTTGGTGCAAGTGAGAAAGAATGCCTTCGCCATTCCAATCGCGCCCCTGCCCTTTACGTCAACCCTGGAGATGCGACAAGACAATACAAGCAGCACGATTGCACGATTCCGAAGTGTTGACCAAGAATCGGGACCAGCCGGTCACGGTAGCATTGCACGTGCTTGGTGATCTGCATAGTTCATCTGAAGAAGTCCTCCATAGTGATGCGCTGGACGCAACATTGCCTGTCACCCGTGAGTCCATCCCCTATTGGCTTCCGTCCGGCATGCATACACGCGCGCTGATCGGTCCTTATCCTTATTCCATGGAGCAATGCCTACTTCCTGCCTCGCCCCTCGCGGAGGAGTTTAGCAACCTACCACATTTCGTTTGACAGCCGGAGTAGCTTGAGCTCCCATTCCAGCAACACTTTTTGTCCATTGTTCTGCGCAGCCCAAGCTACCAAAGAACATCCACAAGAATCCCGATATGCCACTTTTGAGGCTCGCGAGGCTACCCGCGCACGTGGTCTGAGATGGAATACCTGTTGCGACACTGCCCTTAAGGCGCACGCTCAGGAGGACAAGGTGTGCTCCTGGTTGGTAGGGGATTGCGGTAGCTGTAGCGAAGGAGAGTCAACTGTGCGTCACAGTTCAGGTGTCAGACCTCCGCAATCGCGCATTCCTGATGCTATTCTGACGAAGTTGGGCTCTACCGCCGTGATTTCCATGAACAAATATGCCATCGGGCAACGTTCGAAGTCCTTCCGCAACTCTGCGAAGCCCGTCCTCCCAGCTGGATTTCATGAAAACTACTCTTCTTCTTTCCGAACCTGTTCAGGCGCGAGGCCTATGTGGATATGAAATGAATGTATGAAGACATTGGTGTTTGCTGGTGTCTTGCGCGAGTCCCCGGAGTTCGAACGCTTCGGAAAGAAGGTCCTTTTCCCACTCCAAAACGATTGCTTGCTTGTCGCTTTGCATACCTCCATTCTCTACAACGCTTTTGAATAAGATTCAGAGTTCCTTTTTCTATCAACTTAAACTTTTCCGTTTCCTTTGAGAAGGCGAAATTACGTTCCATACCGCTCTCTCTTTATGCTTCCAAATCGTCGCAATGGCGCTGATATGTATGGGAATAGTCTCTTCTTTTGCCTATAGCTTTTACAAAGGTCTGTTGAAACGTAGGGCTTGAATAAATCTTGTAACGGTAGATAATAAGGTGGTACTTGGACGCTTTGCAAACTTAATTTGGATATTTAAAATGAGCACTATTTAAGCGGTCCAGAAAGCTTGAAGACATATTGCAATACTGTACTGCACTACCCGTACCGTGCTTTCAAGTCGTTTTGTTTGAAGTAGCACTTAACAGTCATGAAGGGAAGTTCTATGGCAACTCAGGCGTGACAAAACAAAAACCCTACAGTTGGAGCCGTATTCCCAGCTCTATCCTTTTCAGAGTCTCCTGACGATAGTCTACTGATCTCTTGACTTCTAATAAGCGCATCTGAGGCTTGTCCTTCTCAAAAAATATACGTTTCTTCAGCCTAGGAAAGCTGAAGCATCGAATCATATGAAGATAGGGTGAAGCGCGTTCGGAGTACTTTTTATAACGAATTTGAAGTCACCGCCTCGCAGACCATCCTCCTCATCTACGAACACCAACACGATACTTCATCTTAATTTGTCGGCTCAACGGGTTCAGGACCACATTCTAATCGGGAAACACATAATGTTACCGCACTGGGTTTATTCGGTTCCTGAAGCATCCTCAACAGTCAGATTCAATTCAACCTTCCAACCTAACCTGAGCATTCGGGATCAAACGCAG